AACGTTCCCATGACGAATATTGCTATCGCTAGCGATTGCAAAATCCAACTTGTTTTCAATTTGAACCGCGTTAAGCAGAAAGGACCAAGTCACATCAGCTATTGCCAAAAATTGGACGATTTAATTTTTTACATGAAAACGGTTGTGCGGATTTTTGGGCAAATTTCATTGAATTTTCTGCATAGCAAAAAGCAAATTCCTTAAAATTTTCAAAGGATTTGCACGGACGGCCCCTTGTAAAAAAATACATGCCCCGTCAAAAGCAATATATGATGTGGCTTGGTTCCTTTCTTCTAAACACGGTTTATTTAATACTAGTTTTGTTTTACATCACTAACGACTCAATTTTTCAAAAACTCCACTAGAGCCCTCGTCCTACGATCAAATGAACTCATCAAATGCAAGATGGCGGGTTCATCAACATTTGACGGCCCGCTAAGATTTGATAGCGGACTTGCACGAAAACCAGTCGCAATCTTGCATTTGATGACTATTTGATGAGTTCATTTGATCGTGGGACAAGGGCTTTATGTGACTTGTCCTCGAAGCCGCTATTTTATAGTATCGTTTTTTAGTTAGTATTCTCCGATACTGAGTGAAATCTTTGGCCGCGTCCACACGAGCCCAGTTCCCGGAACTTTTGAGCGAATTAGTTCAACGACCTGGGGTTTTGCAGATTAAGTTATAGCAGAGTTACAGTAAGTTTCGGGAACAAGTTCGCCCGAAAATCCTCGAATTTTGTTCGCGTGGACAAGGCCTAAGTATATATAAATACTTCAAATGGTGAAAATAGGGTTAATCGCTGTTGATGAACATCCATGTAACTTTTTTCGCAGGCTATTCCGCAGGATACTCCGCATGTCATTCCAAAAACAGTTCCTCAAGTTGAACCAAAGGTTATTGAAAGAAGTTTCGGGCATCTTGTAAATGGGCTCATAGGCATAGAACTTTGGCGACGGGAGATTCTAGCCAACGCTCTGGAAAACCCTAAATACAAGGAAAACGCCCCCCTGATCGCAAGCTTTCAACTTCTGAGCCAAGTTGATTCTTACCTAATTAAAGCACGAAAATATTATCAATCTATCAATAGACTCATTCACTCTGACGAAAACTCATTGGATGCAAAACAGGTAAAATGAACTTTAGTTTACGTGAATATACACTAAAACGGTTGTTCGGATTTTTGTGTAGATTTCAGTGAATGTTTTGCATAGTACGAAGAAAATACCTTCAAATTTTCATAGGAATCAGCACAAACGTTCTCATGTAAAAAATTAAATTACCTGGTTTAATTTGACGACAGCTGATGTGACTTGGTTCCTCTCTGCTAAACGCGGTCAAATTACTCTCCTTCTTGCGTATCTTTTCTTATGTCTACTTGGTACGTCAAATGAGTTTTTCCCTCTGAATTAATAATTTTGGTCGTATATTTTGAATTTTACCCATATCGACAAAATCACTAAAAGACTATGTGTTATACACGTCTCGGTCGCGGAAACACGTGTAAGATCGGAGAAATTGGGGAAGAAGTAAGGAATTTTAAAATTTTGCCGGATAACGCCTTTCTGCTAAAAACCTGCTGGACGCTACTTTTTTGGAAGTAATAGGACAAGCAAACGGATTGCGTTAAGCAGAAGGAAACCAAGCCACGTTAGGTATTTATCACGTCAAATTTAATCGGACAATTTAATTTTTGACATGAAAACGGTTATTCGGATTTTCGGCAAAATTCAGTGAATTTTTTTGCATAGTACGAAGCAAATTCCTTTAAATTTGCAAAGGAATCAGCACACACGCTCACATGTAAAAATTTATATTGCCCACTTAAATTTGACAACAGCTGATGTGGTTCCTTCGTTCCTTTCTGCTAAACGTGCATTACTCTCCTCACTGCGTGTCTCTTGTTACGTCAAGTTCGCCTTCGATACCCGGGATGGCAATATGATCGGCTTGAGAGTACGAATAGTTGCATGCAGTAATTATTCCACAATTGCTTAGTATCGGCCAAAAATTAAGCATCAAAATTGCTTACATTTAAACTGATTAATGCGTAACAAGTATTTATTTTAATTTGAACGTATGATAATAACATGTCCAACTTTTGCAGACTGTCGCGACTATTGGCAAACTGAGAGAAAAATTGATCCACATTAAAGACACCGTTCAAGAGCGTGGAAAAGC